ATTACTAGATGTGATTTGCTGAGAAAACACAGACCTTTTTTTATTGGTCTCTTCCTTGTAAGTATAAGGACTAGCACATACTTGACATTTAATAAGTAGTATCAAGTCAGGTAACACTAAATATTTTTTTTAACTTTCCCAACTGGAAGAATACAGTTGATAAATACTGACTCTGTCAGGAAGCTGTATATTTATAAATTACCTATTTTTTAGCATAGTGGGAATGGCAACAAATTTTAAGTATGAAACATTTTATCCTTATTTGATCTGTCTCCTCAGAAGGAAGGTCAACACCTTGTTACTTGCATCTTTTCTACAGAAGGCCATGAACCCACTCTGCTGTTGATTCTGTTTGTACATAATCCTCTCAAAGAAAAGATGCAATGAACTGACATTTTAGGTTTGGTTTTTCTTTTGTAACTTTTCCTTTGGTCTAATTCATGAATTAAATGAATTCTAATTTGATTAAACCAAAAGATTATGATTTTTTGGTTGTTGTTGCTGTTTATTTCTCCAAAAAGCTTTTCATATATACGAAAACAATACAGAATTCCCAGTGGGCTTTCCTAATTCCTAATTACATACCTAATTACCATTTAGGCTGGAGTTTTAAACATATGATCAAGTCATCCAGGCCAGAGAGGAATGTAAAACATTTCTCATGATATGGTCTCTTTGTGTCCTTTTCTCCTTAGAGACATTTCTCACTAGACAGATATTTTAATGTTTATTGTCTTTTGTGTTTTCCAGGTTGCTATAGGAAAAAAAAAATCACATTACATTCACCAACTAAATGTATCACACAAAACACTTTAATCTATGGAAAGATATTTCCTAAAATATTACAACAGTATATGCTTCTTGTTTTAGTGAATTAAAAATTTAGAATTATTTATTGTTTTGCAAGAAGTTTTCACATAAAATTTGGTACTGACAGTTGCTTCACTAGGTAAATGGGATGCATTTTATAGGAGTATTTTACAGATGAGAATATTGAGGCTCACCGAACTGAAGGGACTTGCTCAAGGTCACATGGAGGTTACCATACCTTCCATATCCACCAGGCACTCTCTCTACCTTCTGTATAGATGAGTCATCAGTTTTACTCAGCTATTTTATTTTATCTTTTGTGTTATGGTTCAAATAATATTATTGGGGGAAGAAAAGTGAATATACTGCACAAAAGCATATAGACTTTCAAGGGATTCTTTTGAACATTAGAGTTTTCCATAAAAAGATGTGTCATCCCAGGGTCACAATGTCACTGAGGCTTAAAGAAGAAATGGTGGGTCCTTTGTTCTTACTAGAGCTTGGCACATTGGTTAGGATGGGAATTCACTTAGTTGTTCCAGAATCACAATCAAAGGTATTTAACGATTCCCACAACTGGTCACTGATGTTAGCTTTTCATAGTTTTTTATCTGATTTATTCGAAAACCATTCATTGACTGCTAAGCATGGTCCAGGCATGTCACAGTGGGTTGGGGCTACAAAAATGAATAAACATGTTTAATGAGAAAAACAGGCAAGTAAATAAATCAATTTAATTAATAAAGCAAGTTTAATGCTCAAACACGATGTTTGAACAGTCCTTACTTTCCTTTTTGCCATAAGCAGTAGTCTATGCTCCTTCGTCAACGCTAATAAGCCTGGTAAAGGAGACAGTAAGTACATGGTGGTCACTGTAGGCCTACCTGCGGGTGATTTTATAAAAATAGAGCTGCTAAGAGTGAGATGAAAGATGCCTTCTTTCCCTGAGTAGCCAGCACAGTGTTGATTTAACAGACTTAATACATGTCTCTATTTATTCCAGTGACCAAAATATGGTCCAAGTAATAGACTCCCTGCCCTATAGGAGAGAGCCCTTGTCCTCTGCTTCTCCTCCCTCATCTGGCCAAATTCCACTCTTTAATACTTTGCACTCACATTCTCCCTTTGAAAAAAGACTTCCTGGGTCTCCCCTACCCACTCTAAGCCACCTTGCGTCCCTCCAAACCAAAGTGGGGGAATGTCGGTATAGTTATGGCTCTAGATATCATTCTTCTTCTTTTTTTATTATGTTCAATTAGCCAACATAGAGTACGTCATTGGTTTTCAGTGTGGTGTTCAAGGATTCATTCTTAACACAGTGTGTATTTCTCCACTAGGCTGTAACTTCCTTAGAGACAGAAACTACTGATATTTGTATTCATAGGATCTTGCATAAGATTATCACAGACTCAGAGACAGTGGCAACATCTCCAAGGGATGGCGTATAGTGGGGAGGAAGGAGGGGACTTAACTTTACTCTAACTTCTTCCCTCATAGTTTCTATTAGCCATCCCCTCTTAATCCCCAAGTAAACATACAGGGTACTTAAAACCAGTATGCATGCTAGGCCCCTGTAGGATCAAGGCAAGGTCCCCAGCATCCCTCTCCCACGGATGCTTAAAGAGCACCTTCTATCTATCCCTCAAACTCAGTAAGTATCTGCTCAAATGCCTTCAGGAGAGAGGAAAGATGCAAAACAGGAAATCATTTGGATGACCATGCTTTTTTAAAATCAGGTTTATTGAACTATAACTTACACACAACAAACGCTCTTCCTCTTTCATATATAAAGTTTTGATGACTTTTGATAAATGCATAGTCATGAGACCACTATCATAATCACGGTAGGGACCATTTCTACAATCCTCAAAAATTCTCTTTGAACTACCAGAATTTTAAGCGAACTCTTTAGAAGAACCACAAAACTGATCAATGTTTTAGATTAAGTAACATATCCTTGCATCTTGGACAACTTAATGTATCTCTCCAAAATGAATGGTTTATTTTCCCTCAGTCATAACGCCATCATTTGGTTGCATGGCGTTTTTCTTCCAGAAATCTCAAAGCATTGAGCAAATGAGATTGCACTGTCCTTTCCCAAAGAAACCTGATCTGGGGGTCACCTGGGTGGCTCAGTGGGTTAAACCTCTGCCTTCGGCTTAGGTCATGATCTCAGAGTCCTGGGATCAAGCCCTGCATCGGACTCTCTGCTCAGCAGGGAACCTGCTTCCCCCTCTTTCTCTCTGCCTGCTGCTCTGCCTGCTTGTGATCTCTCTCTCCCTCTGTCAAAAAAAAAAAAAAAAAGAATCTTAAAAAAAAAAGAAAGAAAGAAAAGCCACGAGCTATTGGATTTATACTCCAATGAAATCAATGCATCTCTTCCCAATTGACTTGTATGTTTCTCTTCTAGGTATTGCTTTTAACGAGCTGGCCATTTGTTTTATCAAGTAGGCATGTGCCTTCTTTATTTTTTTTTAAAAGATTTTATTTATTTATTTGACAGAGAGAGAGATCACAAGTAGCCAGAGAGGCAGGCAGAGAGAGGGGGGAAGCACACTCCCTGCTGAGCAGAGAGCCTCACATGGGGCTTGATCTCAGGACCCTGAGATCATGACCTGAGCCAAAGGCAGAGGCTTAACCCTCTGAGCTACCGAGGTGCCCCTTCCCCTTATTTTTCGATTACACTCCCTCATGACTATGAAAAGACTCTTCTTCCTGGGGATACTTGGTACCTTTGGATTTGATCTGATGGATACATGGAATAACACAGCAAACAAGTGAATGACTAAATAAGTGAATGAGAACAGGAAGGACAGAATGAATGAACAGTTGCCTCCGTGTCACGGATAGGCACTGTCTGAGAGGCACGGTGAGGTCAGGGGACTGGCTGAGAGCCTCTCACACAGACATGAGAACAGGCCAGATCAGAAGCCAAGTTTCTTTTCCTTGCTCTCTCCATTTACCCATCAACTCTCATTTTTAAAAAGTCTCCATAAAATATCAACATTAAAGAGTAAAGATGGGAAAATAGGGCACACACAAATTAAGTGGTGTTTTTAAGAATGAATTTAATGTGCAAAGAATGACATGGGTAAGGATTTCGGGGGTAGATTTTCAATTGATAGGTAAAGAAAGGCTTTTTGGTCATTCATCAGGGCTTCCTTTCCATCAGATGGTTTCAGTAATACTTTTTGGTCATGTTCTTTGTGTGTTTTACCATAAGACATTTCGTATATGTCCATTGTGTTCTTTTTTAAGAGCTTTCTTTAGGGAAAAAGGCAGTTGCTTTCACCGTTGGCCACTCTGTGATGACAAGTGGGGAGAGGACAGTCCAAGACGTTCTATACGGTTAGTATGAGAGCCTCCATTGTTCTACCTACGCTTGCACCTTATTTCATTTTTCTCCACATTTGAACAGATCGGGAATGAATTTGATTAAATTTCCACCGAGAGACTTATTATATTCAGGAACACGTATCCAAAGAACCTCAATGAGCATAAAACCAAAAAGGGTCTGCATTTCACAGGAAAGTCTGATTTAAACGGCCCTACCAACAAAAAGAAAAGCACACGCTATTAAAGTAGCTCTCCCGAGGGCTTGTCAACTGCTTTTCAATGCGTCCAAAGCCGGCGTCTTCTCTCCCGGGGCTGCTCAGATATTCATGAATCTCTGCGTCTTCAGCCGCGCTTTCTCTCTCCCTCTGCCTCCCTGGCGCGGCTGTCCCTCCCTCCCTCCCTCGGCTTCTGCTCTTTCTTACTCCTTCTCTCCGCGGCTTAACTACCAGCTCCCACTGGAACTTGCACGATCAAAAACAGCTCTCCTCCCGAGCAGCCTCCAGCCGCGCGCAGCACCTGGAGCCGAGCGGCGGGCCCCGAGCGCCCGCCGCAGAGCCGCCAGGTAGCCGGGGGCGCGCAGGGGGTGCCCCTCTCCGACTCGCCAGCGGCAGAGCAGAGCATCTCCCCGGGATCCGCCGCAGCCCGGGGGCCGGCCGCGCCGATGCCCGCGCCTCGGAGCAGCGATGGGAAGAGCAGAGCCACTGCCGGTGGCAACTGAGAGCGGGGAGAGGTTGTTGCGGTAACGACGCTGCAGGATGTGTGAGTGAGGACCCGAGCCCCGCCAGGTTCTCCATCCCGCTCGGTCTTTACTGCCTGCGTCCGGGAGCGCGGCCGGGGAACCCGCTCGCTGCACTCACCAGGCGGTGCCACCCTGGATCTATAACTGTGAACTCCCTACGGTGGAAAATGGTAAACAAAGACATGAATGGATTCCCAGTCAAGAAATGCTCAGCCTTCCAATTTTTTAAGAAGCGGGTAAGGACGGGTTTTGTTTGTTTCTTTTGTTTTCTGCTCTTCTCTGAAATGCTTTTGATTGCTGGCCAGGAATAAGCCAAAGGTTGTCTTGCAGATTCCCAAAGGAAAGGCGAGCTTCTGGATGCCTTGGTCCAGCTGGGAAATATACCTGTCTTGATGCAAATTTGTGGGTGGGGGCGCCTCTGAACAGTGGGGGTGGGCTGGGCTGCCTGCCTTACAGAGGGTTTGAGCCGGGAATGGGAATTTCTCAAAGCCACAGGATGACAGTCAGTGTCTAAAAGAATTGGCCTGGGGTACAGTTATGGCTAGTAATTTAGTCAGGGACTAATTCAGTAGCTCTCCTTTCTTACCTTCGAAGGGTTCAACTTTTTCCACCCCTTTCACTGACTCTGTCTCAAGTGCTGTACTGCCATCTTCATTACAAGCCGCAGCTTCTGGCTTCCCAAAGCCATGCAGCCAATAACTTGTCGAGTCTCTATCAATGGTAAAAATAGCAAAGGACTAGAATGGCCTTTTGCAGAAATGATGGAATCCAGCTTTTTAAAAATTCTCTATTTCACGTTGCCTCAATGTTGCTTGGTATGACTGCCTTTCTTTTTGAGAGAACAGTGGACAGTCTGAATCCAAGTGACAAGATGGGCTTATGCTGCTGTATATATTTATCCCGTAATTCCTTGTTCTTCCATTCATAGTTGTTAACATCACTTTGATTATAAAAGAGGGGAAAAAAGAAAGAAAGCGGTATTTTTTGTGTGTTTCACAATAAACTGAATGCATTGTAATTGTCACGCTGGTGGTCTGCATAAACCTGCAGATTTATACACAAGTGGGAGGTAAGAAATGTATGATTGTTAAGAGACTGATGACTGGCACTCTTAGGGAGAGTTTTGTAAACAACAGAACCTTCTTTCAGCCCCCAGGTGCCCTGTCCTATTTAATCCCCTAGGGCAATTCCATCAAAATGGTTCTCTCCATTCATTCTTCCCGCCCTTCATTCAGGTCCCTTTCTGCGCTGTGCCTGACACACAGCCTTTCCCTTAACCCACCAGCAGAACACAATGAATTACACACCGGGCCAGACTACCTTCCTGCACCAAATGGGCAAGCTGGAAAGGCAGTTCTGGAAGCAGTAAGTTAGGCCTAGCTAGAGGGCTGGCACAGGCTCCCTTTGACTAGCTCATGGTTAAAGCACAAAATTCCCTCAAGTCATGGGCCAAAACATATGCATTAACAACAAGGCAAAACCACCCTGTCCTTCCTGCTGCCCCTGAAGATCCCTCACTAGTGGAGACTGCAGGCTGAACCAAAGCAAGTCAGTGCAACTTCTCAGTGCTCTGCAGTGTTTCTTGGTTTTCCCTGCAGCCAAAATGTTTCTTTCCAAGGAATGGGCCCATCGTGAAAAGTCATCACCAACGGCAAACAAATGTTTTGCTAATAATCAAAAAACATGTCATAGCCCATAATTCAGGGCTTAAACTCTTTACTCTCTTTGAATTAATGAATTTATTTAATGGTATTGGTGGGAGGGGAACAAGGGTGATATTTTACAACTCCTCATTTAGGTATTTTTTTTATCAACCAAGTAGCTGTCAAGTAGAATTTTTTTTTTTTTAAGTTGTCACTTACTTTCTTGGCTATCAAAATGTACTGATCGATATATAATTTACTATCTGATTTCTTTCTGCTTAAAAGCATAATTTACCAATCGTGTTCAGTTGGCACCTCCGTTGACCTTGAATTTTGCAAAGAACTAGCCAGGATTTTATCTATTTGGCAGAGAGAAAGAGGTCTATAACGAGATTTTCTGGCTGGCAGCTTCAACTGCTTTCTAACCTGGGTTTATCAGTTGCTGGAGATAGAATCAGAAATCTCCTTACTGGTCTCCTTACTCCTCAAGGACAGCAAAATCAGCAGAATGTGACTTTGTAAGAAATCATGGGCAGCCCTGAAGATAAATTCCTTGATTCTTGTCTACTGGTATACAGTAGTTCCAAAAGTCTATTTCATTTTGTACCATGACTTTTGCTTTGGGCTTTGCTTTTTTGTTTGTTTGGTTTTGGGGGTTTTCTAGTTTGTAATTATACAACCAACATGTAAACAGATGTGTAAAGCATTAAGACAATGCCAGGTAAATCCCACCTCTTCCCCAATCTTCCCCAGATGGAACTGTTGTGGCCATGTTGTTGTTCATAAAGTCCAGCCTTTTTCTATGCATTTACATACACATTCATATACGAGAATGTCTTTGTTTTCAGCTAAGAATAATCTATTTTCCCTATATTCTACTGTTGGAGTTCCACACATTTCTGCATTTTTATTTTTAACCTAGATGGACAGTCTTACAAAGTGAGCCTTTATCCCGTGCCCACGTAAAACATGAATAGATCTTAGAAAAACAAAACAAAACAAAACAAAACAAAAAACCCATAGGTATTTTAGGGCTCACGAGAAAGACTGAGGTTTGGACCCAAACTATGATTGCAGAAGCCTTAAAGAGTGCTTCTGACACCTCTGAGACATTCCAAAGGGAGCACAGAGAAGCTCACTAGAGGGGAATATTGATGACCTGCCCTGTCCTTCATTTAGGAGAGTAAGTATAGCCATCATTTATCTAGTGTTTCCTACCTTCTAGAGGTTGAGGGCCAAATACTTTACGGGAATGATCTCATTTAATCCTCACAGAAACCCAATGCAATGTGTGGCTCAGGGAGATTAACCAACCAGCCCAAGGTCACAAAGTAGCAGAGCTAAAATTTAAACTTTGTTTAACCCAAAGCCTGTGTTCTTAGTCCAGACTTTTGATTTCAAATCATCCTCCCACATTTTTTTTTTTAATTTTCCACCACAAAATATTTTTTTCTTTTTTTTCCAAGTGAAATCTTTTGGTATTTTGGTATTTTTGGTATCTCTATCCAATGTATCAAACTTCTGAAGGCAGCCTACCCTCAGCAGACAAGCCTCTCGAAGCTCCTTTCCAGCCCACAGTCTGGAGACAGGCGGTCTTGGTGCAATTTCCCCAAATCCTTTGGACTTATGCTTTCCACTCTCATGTCTCAAAAGCTCAACTAAATCAGCTTAATTTCATTTAGCTGAGAATTGCTAAGCTAAACTCCATAAGAGTTCTACTTCCAATCTCTCCATGTTAATGATAAGTTAGCATTAGGATACCTTTGGATTATGTTTTAGTCTGAGTCTGTAAAGATTCACTTAAAGTGAATGAGAAGATGTCCTTATCAGTTTTATTCTCCCAATCCGACAGCTTTAAAAGTTATCAGTTGTGCTAAAGATAATCCATTTTCATGGATTTTAAGATCTGTTTATAGTTCAGATTCTTGCATTATGACTCAGAAAACACAAACAAATGGCATTGTCTTCAACTTGATAATCCTAGGTCTGTAAAAAAGACTTCGGTAGCCATAATTAAACTGTCTTCTGTAAAATTTCAGAGGCTATCTGGCCACATAGAATTTTGGATTTGGAGTGAACCTTAGAAATGCTCTCACTGACCTCCCTGTTTTAGTGATGAGTAAACAGTATCAGGAAGGAGAAGACACCTGCTCAGATTAGAATATGGCTAAGCGCTGCTCACATGGGCACGGTTTTCACTTCCAGATCTAGTATGCTTTCCTCCTCATCATGCCCTCTAACTAGTTCAGGGCTTCATGCCTTGTCCATTCATTTTTTAATCAAAATCCAGCTCTCATCTTCATAGAATTAACTGCCTAGTGACCACCAGCTTTGACAAGACACTTTTGTCTGGACCCAATATTTCATGATTTTGTGCATTTGAACAATTTCCTTATGTTGTATTATTCTTTAATAATAACAAATTTTATAATCACCATCATTTATACAACACTAACTTCGCTGGGCACTGTTCTCAGAGTTTTAAGTATGGTTATGTATGTAAGTTCTCACAGAAATCCCAAGATAGATGCTATCGGCATCCCAATTTCACAGGTGAAGAAACTGAGGAGTATGGAGGTGGAGAGAGCAGTCCTAGGGCACACTGCCAGTTAGCAGCAGAGTCAGGGTTTGGATCCAAGTGCTTGGTTCCACAGCCCGTAGCCTTAACCACTGTCCACCCTGCCTGTTGGCGTTAACCAGTCCAGCATGATCAGAGGAGAAGTGAAGAGGTACTACAGCCCTAGCTTCCTCCTTTCTCTAAACATGTCAGGGAACAAAGCGAAGGTTCTCAGCCCGATTATGTTGTTTATCCTGGCAGAGCTGAGGGGTGAAATTTAGCTCCTCTGAAGTGGTTATTCTCCACCACTGTTCCATTAACAGCATTCCTTTACATGTATTTCCTCTTACTGTCCTATTATGTCTGCTTAAAGCATTGCATTGGAATGATAACAAAGATCTTCTACCTATGTGAAATACTCCATGTCTTCCTGGAGGGTTAACATTTATTGAGCTTTTACTAAGCATCAGGTGCTGTTCGAAGTACTTTACTAGTGTGATCCTCAGAATCTTTGATTACGCCCATCTTACGGCCAAGGACACAGAGCTTCAGAGAGGTTAAGTAACTGGTTCAAGGTCATGGTGTTATTAAGAAGGGTAACAGAATTCAAACTCAGGAATCATCTCTAGTTCCACCAATCTTTCCATTGACATCTCTGGAGTGCACTACCATGATGCTAACACTGCTTCAGGGTTGGCTCTCCCTATTGGAAACTACTGTGAGGATGATCCAAAGAGGATTTTGTGGGGAGCTTTTGGCCATAGCTATGGAGAGTTAACATTTTCCAAGCGACTCCCGAGGGTAGGAGGAATGCTTTCCAACAAATCTGAAGTCTCCAAGATATATTTGATCATACTTCCTGGCGCCATAGTGCTTCCTACTGTGCTTTCTTCTGAGGTGGCTAAAACCCGAGTTGTTTGAGTCCTTCCTGTGTGGGTTCCCACAGCATAGCACGTGGTCTTGCTCACCTTGCGTGGTAACATCAGGACTGTTTACTCACCCGTAGCTCCCACAGGGCAGGAAGGTCCTTAAGGAC